ATCAGGTGTAGGTTTCAGCAATGGGAACACATGGAAGCAGCAGAGGCGTTTTGCATTGTCGACCCTCAAATATTTTGGATTTGGCAAGAAGTCACTTGAACCTGTCATCTTGAATGAATTTATGCATTGTGCAAAAGACTTCATTAGCCATAAATGTAAATAGTGTATGCACAGCAAACCATTAACAATGGTACGCAATCACTAATACACTTTACATCTAATTTTCTGTCTAATTGTGGAGGAAAACCATTCAATCCTCACCTCGTCCTCAACAACACTGTCTCCAACATCATCTGCACCTTGGTTTTTGGTCATCGCTTTGAGTACAGTGATGAGAAGTTTATGAAACTGATGAAGAGCTTTGGCAAAGCTTTCCAGCTTCTAGTCTCCATCTGGGCACAGGTACGACATTTTAAAGCTATTGATTATTAAATCTTAATACTGTGTACTACTGTGTGGCAGTCCTCATGATAAAACAGTTTATCACTCATGCAAGAGGCTCTATTTGGACACAGGTATGTAATATTCAGTACACACACAGCTCAATATGGAAAATGTATAAGGCTCAAGAGCTGATTTGTAAACAGATTTGAATATTTGGTATGGATTGTCATGAATAGATAATCTTTCACCCAAATGTCTTATCAATAAGTAATTGTTGTAATCTGCTCTCTTCTGCAGCTTTACTACTCATTCCCTCTGCTGATGAGACGTTTGCCAGGGCCACATCAGACAGTCCTGCACATCTGGAGCAATGTGAAGGACTTCATAAGAATGGAGCTTAAGCAGCACAGACAGAACTGGGATCCCTCAGACCAAAGAGACTTTATCGACTGCTACCTGAATGAGACTGAAATGGTGATTGACGCAAGATGTGGCTTTGATTTTTTACTCATAATGCTTGTTCATAAAATGCTCACTGTCATGTCTGTCCATCCATCCATCCATCCATCCATCCAGCTACCCAGAAACGCTTTCCAGCCCCTCCTTTGGGACTGCAAGGTGTTCCCAGGCCAGATGAGATATATAATACCTTCAGCATGTTCTGCCCTGGGGCCTCCTACCAGTTGGACGTACCTGATAAACTCCAAAACGGAGGCGCCCATAATGCTTCCTGATCACTGAACATCCTCAACTGGCTCCTTTTGACGTGGAGGAGCAGCAGCTCTACTCCAAACTTCCTTTTGGATGTTAGAGCTCCTCCCCCTATCTCTAAGGCTGAGCCCAGCCACCCTACGAAGGAAAATCATTAGGGCCGCTTGTATCCGCAATCTTATTCTTTTGGTTACTACCCAAAACTCATGATCGTAGAATTGGTTCAAAATGTTGTTGGACCTTAAACAAGACACTGAGATTCTTGAACTCCTTTGCTCGGGGTAGTAACTCTCTCCAAACCCAGGGGGGGAAATCCACCATTTTCTGGCATGAGAGCCATGGACTCTGATGTGGAGGCACTGACTTCCATCCTGACTGCTTTACACTTGGTTGAAAACCACCCAGTGCATGCTGGAGGACAACTCCAGCCCCACACCCACCCAGAGCCTTTCATCCTGAGAAACTTTAGATTAGTTGAAAGTATAGGTCAGCCCAACTATATGTAGTTGGTACAGCTCCGCCTCCTGCACCAGCTCTGGTTCCTTCCCCACCAGAAAGGTGACATTCCACATCCCTAGAGTCAGTCTGCGATACCAGGGTCAGCATGTCTTGGTCCCAGCCCTTCCTGCCTGATGCTTGGCTCACAATGCACCTGACCCCAGTGCCTACCCTTGCTGGTGGTGGGCCCCCAAGGTGACAGCTCCGTGTTGTTCTTTCAGGCTGTGCATTAGTGGGCCCAAAGCTAAAGAAGTTCACTGGCCAGCACCCCTCCCAGGTCTGGCTCTGGCTCCATCTCTTTT